AGAACGGGCAGAGAGAGTTCCGCCGCGGCCCCGCCGCCGCCGCGGCGCCGACCGCCGGGCCGCCGCCGCCCTGCAGCGCAATCGACGAGGCGAGAGCGTGCAGCCGCGCCGCCCCCTGCCCGGGCTGCCTGTTCACAGCTCTTCTATTCACAGCTCTTCTATTCACAGCCCCCTGCCCTGCCTGGTAGCGTGTGGGCACAGCGAGATGAGGGGGGCGGGGACCCCCTCCCCCCCCGGGGGGGGACGCGGTGCTGGGCGGACTGCGTGAGGACCGAGGGGCGCGGCACCGCGCAGGGGCGTCTCGAGCGCGTGACTCTCGGGGAAGTGTCTCGGAAGCGTCTCGGAAGTGTCTCGGAAGTGCCTCCCCTCGGAAGTGTCTCGGAAGTGTCTCTAGAGACGGGTGCCGCACGGCCGACGCGACGCCGCGCAGCCTGTCGACCCACGCGCGCTCATCCTTGGAGAGGGGCGCCTAGAGCCCACCTCCGAGACACTTCCGAGACACTTCCGACACACCTCCACACGCGCGCTCGCCCTTGGAGGGGGGCGCCTCGCCGCCGCCGCGCGGCTCGGCGCGTGCCAGCCGGGACGACTCGACGGCGGCGGCGAGCGCGACGATGCGGTGCGAGAGCTGCAGCTGCCTGCGGCCGTACACCACTCAAGGATGTGTCAAGGGAGTGTCAAGGGAGTGTCAAGGGAGTGTCAAGGGAGTGTCAAGGGAGTGTCAAGGGAGTGTCAAGGGAGTGTCAAGGGAGTGTCAAGGGAGTGTCAAGGGAGTGTCAAGGGAGTGTCAAGGGAGTGTCAAGGGAGTGTCAAGGGAGTGTCAAGGGAGTGTCAAGGGAGTGTCGAAGAGGTGTCTAGGGAGTGTCTAGGGAGTGTCTAGGGAGTGTCTAGGAAGGAGCAGCTGCCTGCGGCCGCACAACTCTCCTCTCTCGCAGCAAGCAAAGGAGTGAGGTGGAGGCCGGGGGCGGTAAGAACTCGCTGCGCTGGACTGGCAATGTCTCGGACGTGTCTCGGACGTGTCTCGGAAATGTCTCGCCGTGCCTGGACTGGCAGTGGCGCAGCCGCAGCGCGACGCTCACCTCGCGCTCGTCCTCGAGGGCGCGCAAGTCGTCGCAGCTGGAGTGGAGGGCGGAGGCGACGCGTGCGGCGGTCTGCTGCTGCGCTGCGTGCCGCTCGTGCAGCGCCTGGAAGCCGGTGAGCTACGTTCTCCTCTTCTCTTCTCTCCTCTTCTCTTGCAGCGCCTGGAAGCCGGTGAGCTACGTCCTCCTCTTCTCTTCTCTCCTCTTCTCTTGCAGCGCCTGGAAGCCGGTGAGCTGGACGGGGCAGAAGCGGCTCGGGTCGGGGTTGTGCGCCTGCGGGGGAAGGGGGGGGAGGGGGGGGGGGGGTGAGCCTGCGGCAGAAGAGGCCATGGGGGCGGGTGTCCTGCCGGGAGAAAGATGAAGTGCCAAAAGGAAGAAGGAAGCGGGGGAAGCCCAAAAAGAGGCCGAAGAAGAGGAGGAAGAGGCCGAAGTTTTTTTTTGGGGGGGGGGGGGGGGGGGCGGAGAGGCGCGGAGCCCGCCGCCAGCATCTGGGCGTGCGGGCGAGATGGAGCCGAGACATATCCGAGATACATCCGAGATACATCCGAGATGTAGCCGAGATATGGCCGCCGGCATCTAGGCGCTGCGCACGTCGGCGCGGGACCAGAGCGCCTCGTCCGAAGCGGCGAAGGCGGCGGCGCGCTTCGCCTGCAGCTCCTGCGCCGTGGGGGGCGCGAGCGTGCCGTCCGCCGCCTCGGTCGACAGGTCGTCGAAGAAGACGTGCCTAGTCTCGGCTGGTCTCGGCTGGTCTCGGCTGGTCTCGGCTGATCTCGGCCGATCTCGGCCGGCAGGGGAGGCAAGCGCGCGCTTGAAGGAACACATGCGGTAGTCGGACGCGTCCCAGGCCTTGCCCATCTGCGCGAGGAAGGCGCCGAAGATGTCCGCGTCCGTCGCCTGCACCGGGCCCGCCGGACCGGCGGGCGCGGCGGCGGCGGGCGCGGCGGCGGCGGGCGCGGGCGCCGCCGGAGCGCCAAAGAGGCCACCGCTGGGCGCGGCTCCGAAGAGGGAGGTGCCGACGGGCGCCGGGGCCGGCACCGGCGCAGTGGCGCCGAAGAGCGAGGTGCCTACCGGGCCAGCGAGCGGGCCTCACACAGGGTGGTGGACGGGCTGACGCACCGGCAACGCGGTGAGCGGCGCCGCCAAACGGCGCGGCCACGGGTGCTGGCGTAGGCGCGCCGAATAGGCCGGTGGCGGGCGCCGGCGCCGGCGCGGCGGGGGCCCCGAAGAGCCCGCCGCCGGCGGCAGGCGGCGGCGCCGCCGCCCCGAAGAGGCCTGCGGCGGGAGCCGGCGCCGCCGGCGCTCCGAACAGCCCAGTGGCGGGCGCTGCCCCCGACGCCGGCGCCCCAAACAGGGAGGTTGTCGCCGCCGCGGGCGCAGGCGCGCCAAACATCGAGGAGACGCCCGAACCGGGAGTAGTCGCGCCGCGGCAACGAACCTGCAGCCCCGCGCGGGCGGCGGAAAGAATTTTACACGCTTCAGGGCATTGGGGCTAGGATCCTAGGCCAGTCGCAGCAGTGTGGGGGTCTCTCGCGATTCGAAGGTCTCAAAGTGCCCACCTGCCTCCGCCGCCTTCACCAACTTCTCTAGGTCCTCCGCAGACAGGGTCGTCGTCGAGAGCCACGTCTTCATCTTCTCCGCCTCCACCTGCATTTGTTCGTGGCGGGTCGGGACACCTCTCCAATACGCGGTCGCCTCAACGAGCTGGCGGAGGTGCGAGGCGCACCTTCCTGAACGTTTGCATCTTTGCGGCCGGGTGGACCTCCTTGAGCGCCGCCGGCGGTGCCAACGGGCGTCTCGCGACCCCCTCGCGCCTGGAGGATAGCCCGGGCCTCCTCGTCCGTCACGGGCATCTGCGTCCTGTGCTGCAGGGCAATCCTCAGCGCCCGGACGCGCTTGTCCTCCTCGGCCGTGGCCGCCGCGCTCGCCTCCGCCGCCCCAGAGCCCCCTCCTGCCACCGCCTCCTCCGCGTCCGCGCCGCTGTAAGTAGAATCCGAAGCTCCGGCGGACGCAGCAAGTGGCTGCGAACTGTGCCCGGTGTCGGTATGGCGCGTCGCTGAAGGATCGGCAACAATTAGGGTCTTCGGAGCGCGGCGGCCCGCCTCGGCGGCGGCAGCGGCGCCCTCCACCTCCTCATCCCCCCCCGCGGCGGCAATCGTCCCATCGCCGCTAGCCGGCAGCGCGGGCGCCACGGGGTCCATATAGGCCCCCGGGGCGCCGCCTCCGGTTCCGCCTTCCGCGGCCTGCGCACTGCAGGCGCCGCTGTCCGCCTCTTTGGGGCGCGCGCCGCCGCGGCCCTCGCCGCCAGCCGCGGCCCCGCCGCCGTGCTCCTCGCCAGCGGAGCCACTCCCAGCTCCGCCGCGGGGGCCGCTTGCGGCAATCGCATGCCCGTCTGCGGCACGCGCGGCACCCTCGGCAGCGTCCGTACCGCCGCCGCCGCCAGCGCGCTCGCCAGCAGCACCATCGCCGCCGGCCATCGCGCTGCTGCCCGCCTGCGCGCCAGTCGCAGCCCCAAGCGGGGGCTCGACCAGAGACAGGGAGGCAAAGGACGACAAAGCTGCCTCAGCCGCGTCGCAGCTGTTCAGGGCCGGCAGGCAGCGGCACAGCTGACGTTGCACGGTCTTGCCGAGGCCGAGCCCCTCGAGGCCGTCCTCGGCGACCGCCTCGAGCAGCGCCGCGACGTTGCCGACGTCCTGGGCCAGCAGCTGCGGCACCACCTTACCGGAGACGAGCGCAGAAACGCGCGCCCGCTCCAGGAGGGCCGCGATATCCTCGTCGAGATCGATGGACGGCCGCGAGGCCGCCCTAGGGTTTCTTGCCGTCGTCCCTAGAAGGCCGCGCGGGGAGGATCAGGCGGCGAGGCTGGGAGGCGGGCGTCTCACTTGAGGCGTCCGATGCTGCTAACGGCGGTGGGGGCGGCGATAGCAGCCGCGGCGACGGCACGCTACCGCGCGCGGGTCTCGTACGACGGCGGCGCCTACGCTGGAATGCAGTACCAGCCGACGAGGCCCACAGTGCAGGGTACGTTGCAGAGAGCGCTCGCGCGCCGCTGTCAGATGCCAGCCGTGCGCGTGGTTGCTGCTGGCCGCACCGACGCCGGCGTGCATGCCCGAGGGCAGGCGGACGCCTCACCGCCTCCTCCCTGCCCACCGCCGGCTCCCTCTCCCCGACCGCCGCCCCTCCCTCCGCCGCACCTCGCAGGCGGTGCACTTTGATCTCGACAGCGGCACGTACGATCCGGCGGACCTCGAGCGCTCGCTCGGCGCGCTGCTGCCTCCGGACCTGGCGGTGAGTCACGTCGAGCGCGCGGGCGAGGTGGATGGCGCGGGGAGGTCGTGGCACGCAATCTTCTGGGCGACCGGCAAGCGCTACTCGTACCGGCTGTACGCCGGCCCTCCGGGCGGCAGGCGGTCGACGCCGTGCCTGTCCGCCATCACTCCAGTCGCCGTCACCAGCTAATCCGTCACCACGCAGCCACTGCCCAGCGCCAGCGCCCCAACGCCACCGCCCAGCGCCACCGCCCTGCGCCACCGCCCAGCGCCACCGCCCAGCGCAGCGGCGCCTAAGAGACGGTCGCTCACGACGCGGCAGGGACCCGACGACACGGCTGTCCGGCAGATCACAATCTCATGTAATCTCGTGCAATCTCGTGGCAGGGACCCGACGACACGGCTGTACCGGCACCACGCGCACAGCTCGCCGCTCGACCTCGACGCGATGCGGACCACGGTGCGCGCGGGAGGCCTGAGATGGGGAGAGATGGGGAGAGATGGGGAGAGATGGCGATGGCTTGGCCCGAGTCGAGCGGAGGCTTCCCGAGGGACGTCAGGCGGCGGCGCTGGTGGGCGAGCGCGACTTTCGCGCCTTCGCAAACAAGCCTCGCGGGTCGGCGCCACCCTACGAGGCGAGCTCACACGAGCTCACACGAGACGACACGAGATGACACGAGCTCACACGAGATGACACTAGTTGTGATCTCGTGTAATCTCGGCGCCGCCCCACGAGGCGAGCGCGCTGGGGACGGTGCGGACTGTGGCGGAGGCGGCGGTGGTGGACGAGGGGGGCGGATGCGTGCGGCTCGACTTCGTGCTTAAGGGCGCTCTCTACAAGGCGGCGCCGCCTCACCGCCGCCGCCTCGCCGCCGCCGCCCTCCCTGCCGCCACCTCCTCCCCTGCCCCCCCTCCTGCCGCCTCCGCACTGCCTGCTCACTCCCGATGCTCCCGTCACCGCCGCCACCCGCACCGCTGCCCGCGCTCACCGCCCGCCCCCGCCCGCACCGCCTGGCCGCCGCCACCGCCGCCACCGCCGCCGCGTGCCGCCCACCCACAGATGGTGCGTAACCTCGTATTTCTTTCACCCACGTATTTCTTTTACCCGCAGATGGTGCGCAACTTCGCCGGCGCGCTCGTCGACGTGGGCGCCGGCCGGCGCAGCGGCGACGACGTCGCGGCGCTGCTCGCCACACCGCAGCAGAGTCTCCGCTCCTCGGGCAGCGGCGCGCGGCTGGCGGGCGGCGTGGGCGCGGGCTGGCCGAAGCCGGCGCCGGCGCACGGGCTGACGCTCGAGAGCGTGTACTATGGCGCACCCGCGTGGGGCGGTGCGCACGCCCACCCGCTGCTCTCTGAGCCGATCGGCTTTGGAGCCGTTAGTACTCGAGATCCTCTATCCTAACTTGACACGCGGCGACGGCGACGGAGCAACCTCCGTAGTACTCGAGCTTTTCCCTCGTTCGCGTTGTGCCCAGCCATCTCCGCGCCGCGCCTCCCCGCCCTCGCTTTTGCAAAATCCTGCAAACGGGTGGGGACGTGTCGGCGTGGCTTGGGATGTGTGCTCTTTCTTTCTTTCTTTCTTGCTCGGTTGTACTTCAAACCCGACCGCCAGCCGCCACCTCAAAAAGAATTCCACGTGTCATGAAGGGCTCGAGAAGCTCACGTTCGCGTCGGAGCGCCCCTCTGCCTCCCGTAACGCGTAAGTAGGGGGCCCACACCGTGAGCGGTGAGGCACACCGCGCCCCTAAAATGACATGTCGTGTTTTGACCACCTCACAGTATCTAGATAGAGAGGTGTCCGTTTTTATTTATTTATTTAGGAGATGGGTAAAAAGGAACAGGTCCCCGCCCATGCGGTCTTTGTGCAGGGTTATTTGTGGGTGCGGTCGACGACGATGTATGTACGACCTACGAGCTACGTTAAAATGCATTGACGGGATTATGAGTGCATGATTGTGGGTCGCCAGCCACACCATAAAACTCGCTCTCTCCACATCTCTTCGGAGAACGTCTTCGCCGCGTGCGGCGTTCTCGCGGCGCGCGGTTCTCTCCACACTCCACTCTCCAGACAGGAGACAGGGGGTGCTGAGGGTAGACCGTAGACGAAGACCGCACTGACAGTGACACCAGTCACCACACCTCTCATAATGCACACACCGGTTTCTCAGCCCTTCTCCGTGGACCCCGGCCGTTTGCGCCGAGCACTCTGCGGCCGTGTCGCGGCGGCAACCGACGACGCTGTGCAGTCAGCGAGGGCCAGGGCGGGCAGGCGCGCTAGCTCGGGGGAGCGAGCATCAAGCAGCAGCAGGTCTTGGATGCCCCTCAGCGTTTTGATGCTCAGGCCGCGAGGCGTGTAGGGCCAGGCAGGGCTGGCGACTGGAAAGTACCATGCGCTTGTGTTCGGATCCATCCACTCCCCTGCCCCCCCTGGCGCGGCAGCCACACATGGAATCTTTAAGAAGACCTCGTAGCCGTGCGCGCGCGCCAGCCACGCCAGCTGGTCTGCCTAGTGGAGTACCGCACGCCAGTGAGACCGCCATGGTCAGGGAACGGCGCCCGATGAAGCGCGGCGCCCTACGGCGCGTATTTCGGTGTCGTGCCCGAGCCAAGTGGCGCCTGAGGGAGCTACAAATGTCTTGCGTATTACGAATCTGTCTTCTGCATCCACCTTCGGCCGATCGGGGTGTGCCTCTAAAGGCGCGCTACGCCCCACGTACTACGCACACGCATTCCGGATTCGAGTGAGAAGTGGTGGCCGACGGGGGTTACGCCTCACGTATTACGCATACGTTTTACGCATTCGCACGCCCAAGCTGTCAGAGAGGGCCTACGCACCACGTACTACGCACACGCATTCCGGATTCGAGTGAGAAGTGGTGGCTGACGGGGGTTACGCCTCACGTATTACGCATACGTTTTACGCATTCGCACGCCCAAGCTGTCAGAGAGGGCCTACGCACCACGTACTACGCACACGCATTCCGGATTCGAGTGAGAAGTGGTGGCTGACGGGGGTTACGCCTCACGTATTACGCATACGTTTTACGCATTCGCACGCCCAAGCTGTCGGAGAGGGCCTACGCACCACGTACTACGCACACGCATTCCGGATTCGAGTGAGAAGTGGCGGCCGACGGGGGTTACGCCTCACGCATTACGCATACGTATTACGCATTTGCACGCCCAAGGTGTCGGAGAGGGCTTACGCACCACGTATTACGCATACGTATTACGCATCCCCCCCCCAACCCCCTTTATGTGCGCGCACTGGCGCTGCCGCTCGGGCTGCCATAAGTTGGCTGGGGTTGTATGTGCGCTGGTAACAACAGACTCGGGCATAGCCCTCGACAGCCACCCCCTAACCCCCCTCCCCCCCCCCCCTTATGTGCGCGCACTGGCGCTGCCGCTCGGGCTGCCATAAGTTGGCTAGGGTTGTATGTGCGCTGGTAACAACAGACTCGGGCATAGCCCTCGACAGCCACCCCCTAACCCCCCACCCCCCCCCCCCTTTATGTGCGCGCACTGGCGCTGCCGCTCGGGCTGCCATAAGTTGGCGCTGCCGCTAGGGCTGCCGCATAATCATGAGCCTGTCTCCAAACACCTCTCCGACGCGCTCGACTATAGTCCAAATTGGACGGTGGACTATTCGGGACGGCGGCCATTTGCTCAGGCGTCAGAATGCTGAGCTCGTACACTGGCAGCTCCGCAGAGGTTGAGGACGGCGGCGGCGGCGGTGGCGGCGCGGTGAGATCGCTGGTGTCCCTGCCCGCCTCCCTGCGGGCGTAGAAGAGCGCCGCCTCCTCGGCGGTGGCGAAGAGGCCGAGGTGCACATCTTTGCCGCCAACCCTCACCCTCAGCATGTACTTCTTGCTGCCTTTCTGCTTCGGGCAGAAGGTCACGCCTTTGTAGCTGGTGTTGCTGCTGCTACTGGCGGTGAGGGTGAGGCCCTCCCTCTCCGCCTGCTGTATCACCTCGGCGCCAGCGGGAGTGGGAGCGGGGCGTTGCTGCAGCAGCTTCGCGGCGTCGGCGCGGCCGTACTCTGACCGAGCGTAGGCGACGGCCGCCTCTTCGGCGGTGTCGAAGTAGCCGAGGAAGACACTCTCGCCGCCATCCGTCACCTGCGCCTTGAACTTTTTCTCGCGGCGGTTGAAGGACACGTTCTTGTAGCCAGTCGTGTTCCTCTTGGTGGTGGCTGGGATCAGCACAACGCCCTCTGACGACGCGGTCCGCGGCGGGGCCATCATGCAACGCACGTAGATTCGCAAGTTTGACAATTGGGATTCGTATTGGAGTAAAACAAGGCTGCGAGTGGCCTGAACATTTGCCAGGCAATCATCTGTTTTGGCGAGCACAAAAAGAAAAATACGTAATGCGTAATGCGTATGCGTGATACGTAAGGGGGGGGGGGGCTCGGGGGCGCGCGGGGCGAGATACATAATCCGTAAACGTGAGACGTGGTACGTAAGGCACCCGCCGCGCGGGCCATTGCACCGTCCCCCGGGCAAAGCTTTGCGGTGAAAAGGACGTATGCGTAATGCGGATACGTGATACGTCGAAGACGCCCCGCCCCCCCACGGGCCGCGGCGCACCGGCGGAGATCCATAATCCGTATACGTGACACGTGGTACGTATGAGGCAACCACAGGGCCATCGCACCGTCACGCACGCGATGATTACGTGTATGTATTGACGTTTTCTATTTATTTTTGAAGGGGGAGGCGTTCGACGGGCTGCGTAATGCGACGCATTTGGACTGGCAAGTGACGTACACGCACCGAGTATACGTATTCCCGAGAGGGCGTAATGTGATGCGTATGCATATGGGCCTCCGTGCATATGCGTAGCAGTACAGACCACGATTGTGTTTTTGTTTTCAGACTAGGGGGCCCGGCCCCCTCAGAGCACAGAGGCGGCGGGCGGGCGCCCACTCACCAAGAGATCAAAACGGCTAAACGGGACGGCCCGGGGAGGGAGCGAGACCGCGCGCGGCGGGGGCGGCGCCGGCGGGGGCGCTGCACCGCTGGTCACACAATACGATCAATTCAATATCGACTGCGAAAGAAACCAATCTAACCTCTCCACCACGACCGCTCTCGCCGGGCTTTCCTCGCCCCTCCTACACACCTCACACGATCGCAACCCTGGCTGCACCCCGCAGGCGCGACACCGCACCGCTCCCCTCCTGCAACTCATACCAACGAGCGGCCCAGCGCTCAGACCGGCACATCGTGCACGCCCCCCTCCGGCGGTGGCGACTCCTGCGCCTGCGACCGGGGTGCGGAGGCGAGTGAGCTGAGGGGCGGGCTTGCGCCGCCGTCGCGTCTCCCCCGGCAGCGAGCCTTCGGGGCGGGTCGCTGGAAGAACGGGTCCCGCGCCTCCTTCCGAAGCTCGAGCCGCAGCGCCTGCCGAAGCGACAAGCCTCACTCGCCACGCGCCACTCGCTCCTCGCGCCACTCGCTGGTAGCTACTCGCTGGTAGCTACTCGCTGCTAGCAGCTAGGCACTCGCGTCCGCCTTGGTCGAGGTCTGCGTCGTTGCCTCCTTCGGCTTAGACGACGACGACGAGGAGGAGGAGGAGGAGGAGGAGGGGATCTTGGACAGGCTCGTCGCGACGATGGTCAGGAGCAGCGCCTGAGGAGGAGGGTGCCTGCTCTGCCGCTGGAGAGAGCCGAGGCTGCTGGCGAGAGCACGGTCCTTGTGCCGCAGGAAGAGTCTCGGGAGTGTCTAGGAAGTGTCTAAGAGCGAGAGCACGGTCCTTGTGCCGCAGGAACAGCTCCGAGATGCGCCGCTGCTCCGGCGGCGGTAGCGAGGAGCCAAAGTCCTTTAGGGCGAGCGTGACGGGGCGCGAGTTGAAGGGCGAGACGAGGGCTGGGCCCTGCTGCACGCTGCCGAGGCGGAGGCCGGTCGCCGCCTCGAAGACCTCGAGCTTGCAGCTCTCGAGCACCATCGCCTAGGAAGTGTCTAGGAAGTGTCTAGGAAGTGTGTAAGGCCTCGAGCTTGCAACTCTCGAGCAGCATCGCCCGCAGCGGGTTCCGGTTGCGAAGCTCGAGGACAAACTGGACGGTCGACTGCAGCCGAGGCGCCCAAAAGTCGGACACGTCCACCTTGAAGCGGCGTGCGTTGACCGAGATCGCATCGCACTCCACGGGCCACGGCGCGTACATCTGCGCCAACCCCAGCCCCGCCGTGCCCAAGATGGTCAGCGCGAGGCTCGCAAGCAGAAGCGGCACGCAGCGGCCGCCCCCCGCGCGCTGAGGGCCGTCCATCCAGTCGTCGTCGTCGGAGTCCGCGGCAAGCTCCCCGTTGGGTTTCAGCCGCAGATTCTGCTGAACCACATCGGCGGAGTTTGTCTGGTGCCTCCTTCGCTCGCGGACGCCCAGCTGTTCCTCAAGAGCGGCCCGGTCGTGCTCGTCTGGCTCCGGTGCGCTGGCGGCGGCCTCCGACGACGCCGAGGCCGCGGGCGCGGATTCGGCGATCAGATCGTCGAGCCGCGGCATATAGAGCTTGCTCTACGCCTCACGGCTCCGCCCCGAGTCTTGGAAAAAAGAATTCGCTCTGGCTGTCCTCCACACATCCCTCGTTTGGGGTTGTCGGTTTCTTTCTTTCTTCTTTACCCTGGGCACGGGACTGGCGCGCACTGGCACTAACACAGGTACTATGTGAGTGAGTGAGTATTCTTGATACGAAACCACGACGACACTCGACACACACCAGTCGACAAACAAATCTAACACTACACGTCATTTGGGGCCTGGAGCCCTGTATTTGTTTGGTATTGCTAAAAATCTCTCTCCCAGTCGACTCGTATCGGTTGCCTCCATGAACGGCGGAGCTATTCTCGCGCCCACACCACACCTGGCTCCAACGTGGACACGCCCATAGCTGGGGACACTACTAGGTCACGCATGGCATCAGAAGTTTTATCTCTGGGCCCCGAAAGGCATCTCTAGCAGCGTCGTTACGCATGCGCCCTCCCCTCCTGGGCGCATGCGCCTCACATCTCGCCAGAGCATAAGCTCTCGGTGTGCCACGAGACGAGTTTTTCCCCATCGCCGCGAGCAGCAAGCCGCCCGCCGCAAACAGCCGGAGGCATCGCCACGGCACTGACTGCGCCACGGTCCCGCACCCGTCGACGAAGCTCCCCCCGCGGAAGACCGCGCGTAGCGACGCCTTGACGATCGAGATGAGCGCGCTCGAGGCTCGCCCACCTACTGCCCCCGTGAGAGTTGGTTATGAGTGGGCTCGGCTCCCCCCCTTGGGATCGACGCTTCCACGACCTCACACCCAACAGCACAGGTGGGATCAGAGAGAGACTCCACACTGGACACCGCCCGCGGGCACAGACTCCCTACCCATCGGATTGCACAGGGCCCCCTCGGAGCAGCCCACACACAATCACGCATCGGCAGAATTAGTGCCTGAGTCAGGCAGACAGCACAGACAAGGAGAGGAGAGAGAGGGAGAGAGGGAGAGAGAGAGAGAGGAGAGAGGGGAGAGGGTGAGGGTGTGTGCACACGTGTGTGGAGAGGGAGGGTGTCTGTAGTGGGCTGTAGTCATACTACGTGGTTAAAACCACGCGCCCCTCAGGAGGCGCTAAGGAGAGTGTTTGGGTGTCAAAACACCGGGTCGGCGCCAGGCTTAGACAGCCTGTCGCACGACGGGTTGACTGCGAGGCAGTCCGAGCACGAACTAGTCGTCGATCCGCTGACGATCCCCGCCGCTTCACCGTCGGAGCGGCGGCGGGTGAGAGTTAGTCAAAGGTCCACCACTAGCACTATTTGTCCCCCCTCAAGATCACAGGCACACCGGAAAGAAGTCGAAAGCAATTTTAAGCCGCGTGCTCCGAGTGCTCCGGCTCCTCCCATCCCTCCCTTGCGTTGTCTGTTTTCTGTCTTTCTTGAGCACTTGAGCACTGGATAGGGCCGATTCCGCATGGTACGGGACCCCTCGATCGTCTCGCCCTCCCTCACTGGTGTGTTCATTGGGGGGGGTCATAACAAACACGGTGCAGGATCGAGGTGCACGCTGCCGAGGCAGTGTCGTCCCCCCTCTCCCCGACGGCGATGGCGGTGTGACCGATCGAGCTACAAGAGGAGCTTGTTCAGCAGGATCCGGGTCTTTCTTTCTTTCTTTGCTCCGGCTCCAAGTCCTCTCGAGGTTTCCTGCTCGTGCAGGTGGGGACCCTCCGTTAAGAACGGCAATGCACTCCGCACCATGCACAATGCCGCTCTCCCCGCACGCTAGCTCGTTCACCGTCTGCCACGCCACAGCGGTGTGGAGGACGACAGACAAGTTGCGGCCGGTAGGAGCTGGGAGGCATTCGCCTTGAGTGCTGTGACCCAGAGGGTGTGAAAGTGATACTCGAGTGCAGGAAGCCGCGCACGACGTCGTTCAGGCGCCTCCTAATCGCGGTCGCGGCGGCACAGACCGCCGCGCGCAGCGTCGTCACGCCCGTGGCCGTCGCGCCGATGGCCACGCCCGTGCGCTGCGGAGAGCTGCTGTGCCAGCGCGACTCCTACGCCCGCGCCGTCAGCACCGTCGTCGTCTCGTGCGAGCCGCGAGCGGCTGCTGCTGCTGCCGCGCCCGGAAAAGGGAAGAAGGGCAAGGGTGCTGCTGTGCCGCCGCCGCCGCTCCCAGAGTGGGAGGTCGTCCTCGGCGACACGGTGCTGTTTCCGGAGGGCGGCGGCCAGCCGAGCGATGCTGGTACTGTGGGCGGCGTGCAGTGCTCACGAGTCGACAACGTGGACGGCCTCGCGCGCCACGTGCTCTCGGCGCCGCTGGAGCCCGGCACTGCGGTCGACGTCGTCCTCGACTGGCCGCGGCGCGAAGACAACATGGCGCAGCACTCTGCGCAGCACCTGCTGACTGCGATAGCGCTACGGAAGTGGGGCTACGACACGACCTCGTGGGGCCTCGGGGACGCGACCTCGTTCCTCGAGCTCGGCACACCCGAGTTCACGCCGCTGATGATGGCGGAGCTAGAGGCGGAGGCAAACGAGGCGGTCAAGGCTGGCACGGCGAGAGATTACCCGAGATACCCCGAGATTACCCGAGATTACCCGAGATTACCCAAGGCGGTCAAGGCTGGCACGGCGGCCACGCCCTCGTGGCACTCTGTCGCGAGAGTGCCCCGAGATTACCCGAGATTACCCGAGATACCCCGAGATTACCCGAGATTAGGCGGTCGCCCCCTCGTGGCACTCCGTCGCCGACGTCAACGAGGGCCGCGTGCCGGGGCTGCGAAAGTCCTCGAAGCCCCTGCCCCCTTCCGTGACCGGGCCCGCGCGGGTCGTCACGTACGACGGCCTCGAGATTACCCGAGATTACCCGAGATGTCCCGAGATTAGGCCCGTGCGGGTCATCACGTACGACGGCCTCGACACGAATACCTGCTGCGGCACGCACGTCCGCTCCACCGCCCGCCTGCAGGCCTGCCGTGCTAGACACTTCCTAGACCCTTCCTAGACACGTCCACTCCACCGCCCGCCTGCAGGCCTGCCGTGCTAGACACTTCCTAGACCCTTCCTAGACACGTCCACTCCACCGCCCGCCTGCAGGCCTGCCGTGCTAGACACTTCCTAGACACTTCCTAGACACCTCCTAGACACTCCCCAGACACTCCCTAGACACCTCCCGTGGCGTGAGCAGGCCGTCAAGCTGCTCCGCGTCGAGCGGGCCAAGGGCGCCTGCCGCGTCCTCTACGTCGCTGGAGGCCGCGTCGTCTCGCTGCTGGGCAGCACCTTCGAGCGGTCTGCTCCCCCCCGCAAGCCTCGCCCCCCCCCTCCCCCCCCCTCCCCCCACCCCCCCCCTCACCCTCACCCTCACCCCCACCCTCACCCTCACCCCCACCCCCACCCTAGGTCCGCTCTCCTCGCGAGCAAGATGAGCGTGCCGCAGGAGCAGCTGCTCGAGCGGTACGACGAGAACGCGCGCAAGGCGGCGCAGTGCAGACGGAGCGGCGAGAGGCACGGGGCCTGGTCTGAGCGTCGCCGCTTCTCTCCCGCAGGCGGTCGAGCACGAGCGAGCCGCAAAGTCGCTCGCGGCGGAGGTAGTCACGCTGCTTGGGCAGGCGAGGAGGGGAGAGGGGAAACGGGGCCAGGCGGGGAGAGGCGGGGAGAGGCGGGGAGACACTGGGAGAGGAGGAGAGAAGGGGGGGGGAGAGAAAGGAGAGGAGGAGGAGAGGAGGCGGGGAGAGGAGAGGAGAGGAGATGAGAGAGGGGTGTAGGAGGGGAGAGGAGGGGAGAGGAGATGAGAGAGGGGTGTAGGAGGGGAGAGGAGGGGAGAGGAGGGGAGAGTGAGGCTGTCTCGCTGCCGAGCGCCCCCCCGCTCGGGCAGGCGCTGCGCTGTCGGCTGGACAACGGCGAGCGGGCCTTGCACGTCCACCGCCTTCCTAGACACTTCCGAGACACTTCCGAGACACTTCCTAGGCGAGCGGGCCTTGCACGTCCACCGCCCCGCCGCCGACGCGGATTTCGTCAAGGCTCTCGCGGCGTCGCTCGACGAGGCGCTGGCCGAGGCGCAGGGGCTGCTCCTCGCCTAGGAAGTGTCTAGGAAGTGTCTAGGAAGTGTCTAGGCGCTGGCCGAGGCGCAGGGGCTGCTCCTCGTTACCGCGGGGCCGGGGGCGGGGGAGGGCACTTTCACACTTGCGGGGCCGCCCGACCTCGTCGACGCTGCGAGCGGCGGCGTGGCGGCGGCGCTGGAGGGGCGCGGCGGCGGGAGGGGGGGGCGCTTCCAAGGCAAGTGCCAAAAGGTTGGCGCGGCGGAGGCTGCGATGGCCGCCGCAGAGGCGGCTCTCGCCCCGTGACGCACGTCTCACAGATCCGGCGAGCTCTGAGATCTGGGCGGCCACGAGCCACACGCTGCACACACGCTGGACACGCTCGCATTGGCTGCGTCTCTGCAAACAGTCAGACAGGCAGGCAAGCCCCGACTGGCCCCGCCCCGGCTCGCACGTGTCGCAAGGCCGGACGGCTAGGTAGCTCTTGGTGAGCGGACGAGCTTGATTCACTCACTCTGTGTTCGGCTTAGTCAAAAGAAAGACGAAGATAACAGTCAGACAACGCGCATGGGCTGGACAGGGGGCCCACAGCGCCCCAAAATCCACTAGTGTGGGATTTCGCGCAAAAGCTTGACTCTGAAAAGCTCATCCCTGCGGTTAGCGCTGTGGTCGCTGTAGTGGTGTAGACTGGCTCCGACTTGACGGCGGCATGGAGACGTGATGCCTCCATGCCGCCGTCGAGTCAAAATCGACATGCGAGTCGATCTTTGGCCCGCCAGAGGGATATGCGGCGTTTCGGGCGACAACAGCGCTGCGACCGCGAAGTGGCGGTGGACATGCTCCCACATTGCCGACGCGGCGCCGGAGTGGCCGGCGCTGCTCGCCGCGACCACGACGGCTACTCTGATACTCCGGGCCGACCCGTCCTACCCGACGGTGGCACTCTTCCACGTCTCGCTCACGCTGAGAAAAATTCTGAAACGGCGTGCAGCAGAGTCACCGACGAGTCGGTCCGCGTGACTCCTCGAGCCCGCATCGTTCTCACACATCCATAAACTCACTTTGGCCTCACTAAAGCGAAGTCTGAATCCTCAATCCTCAGATTTTAGATTAGAACATTAAGCAGCGGAGGTGTGCCGAGGGGGACCGGGAGGCGGTAAGCCGTCGTTGCCCGGCGCTGCTTGCAGCACCATGGCGATGGCGCTAAGAGGTTCCTCTTTTCCGCGCCCCCCCCCGCAAGGCGCGCGATACACAACAGACGGGCGAACTGTCGTGGGGAGGTAAGGTGAGATGATGGAAATCGGGGGACGCGACCCACCTAAGGTAAGGTACAGTGCGTGCTCTTGCCTTAGAAATCGGTGTTTAGAAATTGGCTGCTGGAAATTTGGCTGATTTCCCTGGCCGAAATAGAAATCGGCTGCTGGCACGAGGCCGGCCCGATTTCTCTGATCTGCCGCGCCGCAGGCGCGAAGAAAATTTTAGAAATCATAAGCTGCTCGAGCTCGGCGCGCACCCACGCGCACGTCGCTCGCTCGCTAGGCAGGGCGTGCGTACACGCGCTGACCACACCTGCAAGCCGGCTTTCATCGGGCACACACGGGCGGGTGAAGCCGTTCGCGACGATTGCGTCGAGCTCGTGTCGGAGGCGCGAGTCGCACTTGCCTGGCGCGTCGCCCGTGGCGAAGTGGTACGGGTCGCAGACGCCCGACGGCGCCTCGAGCGCAGCCAGGACACACCCTAGCGACCAGGCGTCGGTGCCACGCGAAAGCGGCACGACTGCAAAGTCGCGGGCCACCCGCACCTGCTCGGGCGCCCGCCAACCCGGCGTGCCTGAGTGCGAGAGCTGCGCCCCAACGGCTAGTCGCCTCGCCTGCCCAAAGTCACACAGCTTAGCGACAAGCCCCTCAGAGCGCGCCGACAGCAGCACGTTCGATGGCTTGAGGTCAAGGTGCACGATGGGGGGAGATCGCGTGTGCAGGTACGACATTGCTCTTGCAATCTGCACGCCGAGGGAGCGGCTCTCGCCCCTCTGATCCCCGATCAACAAATCTCCCAGAGTCCCTGCGTCGGCATAGTCGAGAGCGAGGAACGGCGTCTCGCGCGGGGCGCATGCAAAGCCCATCACATAGATGATGTTCTCATGGTGTAGTGCTGCCGCGATCTGACACTCGGAGGCGAAGGCGCTGCTCGCGCGCAGCGGCTGCTTCACCGCGAGACGACCACCGTAGTGGCGGCCAAGCCTAACGGTGCCTTGGCCGCCCTTGCCGAGGCGACCCTGGCTGCTGCCAAAGGCGATGTCGCGCAGGGCGAGGCCGCCGTACCGGCTCGCGGTCGGCGCCAAAGGCGGGATCGGAGCGACGAGGCGAGGAGCAATTGTAGGTGGAAGAGCGGCGAGGGGCGGCGGAAGTGCCAAGCTCGGCTGCCTCGCGACGAGCAGGTGGCCCCTGCCGTGCTGGCCGAGGGCCCGTGGCCGAGGGACGGTAGACGGAATCGGGACGGGAACGAGAGCCGCAGGAGCAGCGTCAGGCACCGCGAGGGCGGCGGCCTCCGCTCTCGTTTTCTTGAGTCTGCGTCTGTACTCGACCTTCTCGGCCCTGCGGTCACGGCCCCGATCGCCCCTATCATCCGGATTGGCGCGTCTATACACGGCCTCAGCGCGTGCCTGCGCCGCGGATCGCTCCCTTTTCGGCATGTCGTTGCATGTCCAGAACCCAGTGTCGAGAGCGAAGGCGCGAGTGGTGACACGCCCGCAACCTTTGAGCACCCGCGTCCCCCACCAGACATAAATCGTCCCCCACCAGACATCGAAGTCAAATGTCAAAGACACCTCTAGGGACTGGCAAAGTGGGCTGCCACACCCACAAAGATGCAGAAAAAGGGGACACCGGCGTGACGTGGCCTCTCGACGGGTTTGTTGAAGCAGAACTTGGTTCGGCGCACGAGGCACGAGCGAGCACGCACACACGAAATAAAGGTTAAGCGGGAGGATTGAATTCGTATCTCAGGGCAACCTTTTAGTGTACTAGTATCTAGACCGTATAGTGACCGGCGCGCAGCGCCGAAGAAAATTTTGGCAGAAATCGCTTACAGAAATCGGCTGCTGGCTCGCCCGATTTCCCTCGCCGAAACAGAAATCGGCTGCTGGATGCCGACGCCCCGATTTCTATCGCCACGCCTCGCACTGTAAGGTAAGGTAAACTTCTCCACACACACGAGGTGGTGGGGCAAGGGGGGGCAACCCTCGAGTCTCCACGTCTAACGACAGGAGCCCCACGGCATTTAAAGTGCAAGGCCCGGTGCGCGTGGGTGAGCGGTGTGTGTGTGTGTGTGTGTGTGTGTGTGTGTGTGTGTGTGTGTGTGTGTGTGTGTGTGTGTGTGTGTGTGTGTGTGTGTGTGTGTGTGTGTGTGTGTGTGTGTGTGTGTGTGTGTGTGTGTGTGTGTGTGTGTGTGTGTGTGTGTGTGTGTGTGTGTGTGTGTGTGTGTGTGTGTGTGTGTGTGTGTGTGTGTGTGTGTGTGTGTGTGTGTGTGTGTGTGTGTGTGTGTGTGTGTGTGTGTGTCACGTCACTGCATCCTCTGCCGGTTCCTCTCTTTGTTCGAATGTTTTCAATCCATCCTTCACGAAGCCCTCCCATGTAGCTAGCGTTCTTTGCGAATGTCTCGAGATGGCCAGCAGGCGCTCGTGGGGATTGGAGTGGTCTGACCGGGTTTGGTCGAGGCCCTCCGTAGGCTCGTGAGGCGTCCTGGCGATGGCGGCTGCCTCCCGGCGGCCACGGTAGATAGCTGCGGTGATGCCTCTGGTGGCTGCCTTGCGGCGGCCGCTCTGGCCAGCGGAGGAGATGCGAACGGCGATGATGGCACCAGCGATGACGGCTGCTTCGCAGCAGCCGTTCTGCACGTCTGAATCGATGATACGGTTGCCAATGAAGTAAGCACTGGCAGCGGCCACGGTGCCTGGCAGAAGGCGGAATGGCTGGCGTGGCCCCCATCCCAACGAAGTCAGGCGGCGATGACTCCTTGGATACATCGATGCCGCCCTTGGGCGCGGTGTTGCTGGCTAGCAGCCTGCCCCAGTGTTGTGCGATTTCTTCGAAAATTCTTGTGCCAGTCCCGTGCCCAGTGTTGTGCGAGGCAGCTTTTGGTAAAATTCCTGTGTTAGTGCCAGTGCGCGCCAGTCCCGTGCCCAGCAGTGCCCGCTGGCGGGGCAAGCGGCGAGGGGGTCGCCGGGGGGGTTGGGATGATGGGGATGGTCTTTTCGGCGAGCACTACGGTGCTCGCGGATTCGACTGTCCCCCCGATCGTGCCCACCTCCATGAGGACGACGGCGCCTTCTAAAGGTCCGTCGCAGGCTGTGCCTCTTTTGGTACCTGTGTCGAACCTGTGTGCTGTGCGAGAGAGGCTTGTTGAATTCTTGTTTTTCAAGCTGCTTGAGTCGATACATGCATATGCGGAGCAGCGAGTCCGACTCCGACGTCAGCTCTGGCGAAGCAGTGACGGAATCGGGAGACACCGACGACCTCGGCGGCCTCCTTGACTCACTTGAAGGCATCTCACTCCATCAGCCACGTGAGGACGGCGTCCCGGTCCATAGCGGGGACGAGCTGCCGCCCTTCCGCTTTGCAGTGCCAGCGGTGCAGCTGCGAGACTACCAGGCCTCGCTGCTGGCCGCCGTCCGCGACCGCTTCTCCGAGGGGCATGGCTCCGTGCTGGCCTACCTCCCGACGGGAGGCGGCAAGACGCACGTGGCCGCGGCAGAGTGCGCCTCCGAGCTCGCCGCCGGCGGCCGCTGCCTTCTGCTCGTCAACAGCCGCACGCTCCTTGAGCAGACGCGCCGCGCGTTCATCAAGGTTGGCTTCGGCTCGGAGCTGGTCGGGCTGGTGGGCGGGAGCAGCGCGCTGCAGCTCGAGAGGCCGGTGCAGGTGGCGATGATTCAGAGCCTGCACGGCCGCACGCTCGAGCAGCACGCGCGGTGGCTCCGCCGCTTCTCGCTGGCCGTCGTGGACGAGATACAGGCAGATATGGGAGATATGGGGAGATAGGTGGCTCCGCCGCTTCTCGCTCGCCGTCGTGGACGAGGCGCACGCCGCTTTCGCGCACACGTACGCGTCGCTCCTCCGCCGGCTGGGCGAGCCGTGCCGCGTGCTCGGTGTGAATAGAAGAGCTGTGAATAGAAGAGCTGTGAGCAGGCGAGTCGTGCCGCGTGCTCGGCGTGACGGCGACGCCCTTCCGCTCCTCGCCCGAGGAGCGGCTCGAGCAGGTCTATCTCCCCACATCTCCCCATCTCTGCCCATCTCTCCCCAGGTCTTCACCGGGGCCGCCACATCTCCCCACATCTCCCCATCTCTGCCCATCTCTCCCCAGGTCTTCACCGGGGCTGCCTTCGGCCCCTCCATCTCGACTCTCATCGACCGCCGCCTCCTCGTCCGCCCCACCGTCTACGGCGGCCCCCCTCCCCGCGCCGGCGGCACCGCGGCCCCGTTCGAAGCCGAGGTCGACGCCATCATCGCAAAGGACTCTGAATTAACTCTTAACTAACTCTTAATTAACACTTAATTAGGTCGACGCCATCATCGCAAAGTACCGCGCGCGCGCGCGCGGCGTGCGCGCCGTCGCCTTTTGCGCTCGCGTCGCCGACTCGAGGCTGCTCGCGGCTCGGATGGCGCAGGCCTGCACCTCGGCTAGACCTCGGCTAGACCTCGGCTGCACCTCGGCTGCACCTCGGCTAGATCTCGGCTAGATCTCGGCTAGACCTGCTTGCGGTTTGGTTGGCGCAGGCCGGCATCGCCGCCGCCCACCTCGATGGCGACACGTCCGCCGCAGAGCGCGAGTCTCTCTTCGATCGGATGCGCGAGGGGTCGCTGCACGTGCTCTGCAACTGCGACGTCCTCTGCGAGGCGTATATCTCGGCTGCATCTCGGCTGCACCTCGGCTGCACCTCGGCTGCCTCTCGGCTGCCTCTCGGCTGCCTCTCGGCTGCCTCTCGGCTGCCTCTCGGCTGTGTCTCGCGTCCTCTGAACTGCGACGTCCTCTGCGACGGGTTCGACTTGCCCGAGGTAAGGGTACCAGGGTTCAGTTCTTTGCTGGTAGGGGTTCGACTTGCCCGAGGTCGGCGCGGTGCTGCTGCTGCGGCCGACCCGCTCCCGCCGCCTCTACGTCCAGCAGGTGGGGCATTAACTAATTAACTATTAATCAACTACTAATTATTAATTAGCTCTACGTCCAGCAGGTGGGGCGCGCTCTGAGGGCGGCAAAAGGCAAGGAGGGGTGCGTGGTCCTCGAGATGGCAGGGCTCATCTCTTCACGGCTCGTTCTATGCACAGGCAAGGAGGGGTGCGTGGTCCTCGACTTTGCCGGGCTCACGTGGCGCTTCGGCCCCGTGACTGGCCCGCCGCTTGGCGCGAGCGAGGCGAGATCTAGCCGAGATCATGACCGAGATCTAGCCGAGATGTGATGTTGCCTGTATCTGAGGTAGGTGTACGCGTGGGAGGAGGCGTGCGGCACCGCGGCGTCGGCGAGGGCTCTGGTTCGCCGCTGCCGGTGCGGCGTGCTGAGCCATGCGGCGGGAGCTGTGAAGAGAGGAGCTGTGAAGAGAGGAGCTGTGAACAGGTGCGGCGTGCTGAGCCACTCGGCCGAGGCGGAGTGCGGCGCGTGCGGAGAGCTCTTCCGATCGGCGGCCGTCAGGGCGGCGCAGTCGAGCTGCCTCGCTTCCCTCTCCTCCTCCCGCGCCGGCCTCGCTGCCCAGCCCGCGCGGCACAGCGCCGGGCAAGGAGGGGCGAGCAGACCCGTGGGCCGCGGCGAGCCGTCGCGGGCTCTCGCGAGCGCCGCTCTGCCCCTGGGCAGGTCGAAGCACAGCGCGCCGGAAGCCAAGCCGCAGCACAAGCCGCAGCAGCCTCGTGCCGCGGCGCAACAGATGCCAAAGCCTCGGCCCGCGTCCGCACCTCTGCCGATCGCGGCCGCCTCGCCGCCGCCACAGACACAGCTGCACCTCCGGCCTGCTTCGGCCTCGTCCGCCGCCCGCACACCGCTGGCCGACGTGCGCTGCCCGCAGCTGAACCGGGCCGCGCGCAGCACGCTCGCGCCCAAGCCGCACCCGCCCTCGCGCGAGCAGCTTGCGCGCAGTGCGGGCTTGCCTGCCGGGGGGGGGCTGCCCAGGAAAGGCGCGGCGTGCGGGCCCGCCCAGGTCGAGTCTCGCGGGGGTGGCCGTCCGGAGGCTGGCGGCGCCGCGGGGGAGGCCGAGGAAGAGGGCGAGGAAGAGGCGCCTGCCGCCGCCCCGCCACTCGCACCGCCGGCTGGCTGGGTCAAGGTCTTCCACGCGAGGCGGCAGAGGCACGTGTACATCCACGAGAGATAGTATATTAACTAATAATATATTAATTAATTATAATATATTAATAGGCACGTGTACATCCACGAGGAGACGGGAGAGATGGCGAGCACGCCGCCGAGCGGAGAGGCGTGTGCCGACGCTCTCGCCGCTGCCGTGGAGGCCCTCCGCGTCGCGTGAAGTCCATGGACAGCTCAGGGAGATACCGGGGGATACGAGATACGGGACGTGCGGGGAGATACCGGACAGATACGCGGACATGCGGGGAGATGATACGGGGAGATACGGGGAGATACCGCAAAAGAACCGGCTACATCAGGGCTTTCAAGTATCTCGCGGCGCGCTGGGTTAGTATCGCCGGTGCGCCAGCCGGCTCTCTTTCACAGCAACGCGCGATTTCTTTTTCTCGGGCAGCTCGAAGCCGCGCTCTTGCGCCCACAAGCGGATGCCCTCTACTGCAAGCGAGGCGTGGAAGAGGAGCGAGAGACGTCTGGGGGGGCGACCCCCCCATCTTTGTTTACCGAATGCGTCTCTGGATTAGAGTGCGTCTAGTAGGCCTCCTACTTAGACGCTCGCTGTCCTCGGTATGCTCGAGCATCCTAAGATGCGCGAGTCTATATTACTTATTAGTTGCTCCGCGCATCCCGAATTGCTCGCGGCATCTCCGATTGGCGTTGCTGTCTCAAAAGACGCGCCGTGCATACTGTGAACAGCGCGTGTCTCAGAAGACGCGCGCATATTTTGAACAGCGTGTGGATCTCAAGAAATACACGCACGTATAAAAACAAAAAAGAAAACGAAAAGACGGTGTGGCGAGCGCTGCGCGGCGGGCCGTGCCCCCGGCTGTGCGCCGCGGCTGCTGCGCTACTACTCGCACAGCCGCGGCGCGCCCACCCGAGCACTCGTGGGTGGGCGCCCTATAGCCTCTCCGCGCAACGTGCTGGGGCACGGACAGCGGCTCTCACGTGTGGCAGCGGCAGCAGGCCCACCGCTGCACCGACTCACACTGAACAGCACGCACAGGACACAGTCACAGAACACTGCCCCTGACGCCACTCACGGCCACGGGCTACTCAGACTTGGACACAGGCACCTCGCTTAGCACTCCGTGCACGTGGCTGCCGGTTGCCGTCACCAGCGCCGCTTCCTGCCCAGATCAAACACCTGCGACGTGGCGGAGGCGATGAGCGGCCCGCGGTCGCCGTGAGAGCGCGCGTGGTGGGCGACGGCTCACCGATCGAGCGGAAGCGGTCACGCTGTGGGGGCGGCGGAAGCGGTCACGCTGTGGGGGCGGCGGCGAGGCGGGCAAGCCACCCGCAGATCCCCAGAAGGACGCCGTCGCGAGGTCGAGGGCGGGCGGCGGGGGCGGCGAGAGCGAGGCGCGAGGCGCGAGGCGGTGTTGGCGGCGGCGGTGGCGCGGGCGGCGGCGGTCACGGAGCGGGGGCGAGAGGGTGGTGGCGAGCAAGACACCCGTGCGCGCTGCGCGGTCGCCGTTCTGACTCACATGCCTGCGGACAGCGCCGACGGGTGGTGAGGAGGGCGGCGAGCCGGCGGGCACGGTGTGCGCGCGGTCGCCGCGCGCTGGTGGGCGACAGCTCACCGAGCGAGGAGCGAGGAGCAGGAGCTGGAGCTGGAGCGAGTCGGGATGCCCGGTCCCTCAAATCGCCAAGTCAAACAAGAAAAACCGCGCCCCTGGCCGACTCTCGGAAGTACGCTGTCTTCCGTGTCTAGGCGCACGCCCACGCCCTCAGCCTCGAACTGGCCCCGCTACCTGCCGCGCAAACTGGTTGGTGGGGGGGGGAGGCGGCGTCGCCGTCGGATCGTCGTAAGCAGTGCATGCAACTTTGGTCTTTGCGCCCAGAGCTCGTGGCGCGAGCAGATGCATGCGCGGTGCTGAGAACCTGGTTCTCCAGGAGGGGCAGGCCGCGAGGAGAGACCTCACACGAGCACTCAAGGCAGGGCCCCCAGGGGGTGCCGAGAGATCACACCGCCTTTTCGTGCTCCCTGGCTCCCTGCTCCCCCCTCGGTGCCCGGTGCACCCGACACACGGTGTCTCCTGAGACGCTTCCCTGTCCAAGTATAGTAAAATGTGATCTAGTATGCAAGTGCCATCTCAGAACAGCTGTGCATCTATAGATGCTTGTGGCGTCTAAGATGGAACGCGTAACAAAAGACACGGCGCGGCTATCTCCAGGACAGCCATCGCATCCTAGAATGCCCTGTGTACCCGAGACACATGGTATCTTTGAGATGAAAAGTGCGTCCTAGAATGCGTTTTTGCATTCTAGGACGCATCGGTAAACAAAGATGGGGGGGTCGCCCCCCCAGACGAGAGACGGCCGCGACGCGAGCGATGTCGGCGGGGTCGCAGCGAGAGAAAGCGCGCACGAGGAGGTCCGTGGGGAGGTCGAGGAGGCGGGTGGGCGGCGGCGTGCTTGGCGATGGCGCGGAGGCGCCATGCGTCCCGTCGTCTGGCGGGAGCTCTTCGTCGGGGTCGGGCGGCTCGGGAGGATCCACGTCTATGTCCGCCGCGTGCGTGCATGTGTGTGTCCCACGTCTCTTACCACAGCGCGGCGGCGGCTGTCTGACATGGTGCGGTGGCTGTGCCTTTCGGCGCTGCTGCGCGAGCACAACCCGCCGGCGAGGGCGGCTGCAGGCCGGCATCACAGCCTCTTCATTGACGGCGAGGGCGGCTCTCGTCGTGCGGCTCGGCGCCGGACTACAATCCAATCCCCGCGCTGCTTGGCCACGGCGAGGGCGTGAGGCGGCTCAACACGCCGACCCGCCTCCCGTCGGCGCTGGGTGAGCGTGCCGTGAGCGTGTCGGTTGGAGATGACCACAGCATCGCCCTCACCGCCGACGGCGCAGTCTGGAGCTGGGGCTGGGGAGACTACGGCCGGCTGGGCCACGGTGACACGCAAGACCAGCTGCTGCCCAAGAAGGTCGAGGCCTTTGCAGGTCGGCGCGTCGTCGCCGTGTCGGTTGGCTACGCACACAGCCTCGCCCTCACCGCCGACGGAGCCGTCTGGAGCTGGGGTTGGGGAGCCTTTGGCCGGCTGGGCCACGGCGACTGGCAGGACCAGCCGCTGCCCAAGAAGGTCGAGACCTTTGCGGGCCAGCGCGTCGTCGCGGTGTCGGCTGGAGTCGATCACAACCTCGCCCTCACCGCAGACGGCTCCGTCTGGAGCTGGGGCGACGGAGACTTTGGCACGCTGGGCCACGGCGACGAGCAGACCCAGCTGCTGCCGAAGAAGAAGGTTTTGGCGGGCCAGCGCGTCGTCGCTGTAACGGCTGGAGAGATTCACAGCATCGCCCTCACCGCCGACGGAGCTGTCTGGAGCTGGGGCGATGGAGTCGAAGGCAAGCTGGGCCACGGCGACGAGCAGAACCAGCTGCTGCCAAAGATGGTCGAGGCCTTTGCTGGGCGGCGCGTCGTCGCCGTGTCGGCTGAAACCATCCACATCCTCGCCCTCACCGCTGACGGCTCCGTCTGGAGCTGGGGCTGGGGCCTCGAGGGCCAGTTGGGCCACGGCGACACGCAGAGCCAGTCGCTGCCCAAGAAGATTGAGGCCTTTGCTGGGCAGCGCGTCGTCGCTGTGTCGGCTGGAGGCGACCACAGCCTCGCCCTCACCGCCGACGGCGCCATTTTCACGTGGGGCGAGGGCGACAACGCCTGCCTAGGCCACGGCGAGGACCTGTCGAACCAGCTGCTGCCCAAGAAGATCGAGGCGTGGGCGCCGGGTCACTGATGAGCTCCGTGTTGAGTGTTGCCTATCGCGATCTATACACGAGGCGTGGAGGCTGGAGCCTGGACGAGAGCGGATGGGGGATGGTAGTTCTAAATAAATAAATAAATAGAACGGACATCCCAAGCTAGGGCTGGGTCGAGGACAGACAGTGGTAGTTCGGGAGGGCATTCTTTAGTTATACCAAAAGGAGGGCTACACGACGCCCTCTACGCTGGGGTGCCGGCGCCCTACTGGGCGCCCCCCGCTCCCTTCCCCTCAGAGCCCCCCATCCCACTAGCATTCCCCCGCGGCCCCTCGCGGTCGCGCGACGCCGCACCAATGGCGCGCTGTGCCTCGTCCGCGAGCGCCACCCAGAGCTGCACCGACAGTCGCTGCAGCGCAAACGGCATCCATTCGCGCGCCGACCACGACGTCTGGTCGTCGCCGCACGTGCCGCCCGCTCAGCGGCGCCAGGCCCGGCCGCCCCGCCCGCCCGCGCCGCACTCCCTGCGCACGTGCGGTACCAGTGTGCGGGCGAGCCGAACGGGATGGCGGCGAGGATGCGGTTCGCGTAGTCGCGCTTCCAGGTGGCCGACGCCTCCGCCTGCGCGGCCACGCATTCTTCTTTCAGCTCCAATGAAGCCCAACCCTCGCGTCGAGAAGGCGTCAGGCCGGCTGACCGGGAGCAATGCCCAGGTGAGTAGCACTCGCTGGAGCAATGCCCAAGTCACCCTCACGTCGACGTTGGAGGGTGCCGAGCTCAAGGACGCTTGTGATCGTGTCGTCGCGGCGTTGCCGGAGGACGGCAGGGACCGGATAGCAGCGTTCGAGGCATTCGAAGCGTCGTCAGCCCAGACTGTAGATGAGGATATCGAGCGCGCAGAGGCCTTGGGGAGAGAAGGCGCGTTCGACGAAGCGCTCTCCTTGCTGCAGCCTTGGGTGGACAGGCTGCGCTGGATGACGTTTGGTCAGCCAGTCGATGAAAACTCTGGACTGTCTGCAGCGGTGTGCGGGAATCCGTTCTTTCCGACGTTGATGAAGTCGCGTGCCAAGCTCTATTTTGACATGGAGAAGTACGACGAGGCCAAGCTTGACGCTACCGACGGGCTGCAGGTCGTGCGCCTCTCACGGAAAGGGATATCTGAGCAGTCTTATCTATCTGAGCCGTATATCGGACTCCAGATATCCCTCTTTTTGCTGCGCGGCGCGGTTTGCTTTGGTCAAGGCTACAGCGATGGCGCCATCGACGAGACTGCTCTCGAAGGCGCGCTCGCAGACCTGCAGGCTGCCAGCAGTTTGACCCGGCTTTACCGGCAGCAATTTGGCAGCGCTGATGGGGACGAGCGCAATGTCACGCTGATGCTGTTGCGCACGATGGCCCTCCTAAAGCGTGGGCATCCTCGCCCTCACTACACCCCTGCAGAGCGTCTAAAGTGCTGGGAGCGGCTCCATTTGAAGAACTTCGCTCCCGCACTGTATCAGTGCTCCCAATGTGGCACCAAGCCAAGCGTTGGGGTGCGGTTGCAGATGTGCGGCCCATGCAAAGGCGTGGGCCTGGCCACGCCGTACTGCTCTGTCGCCTGTCAAAGGGCCGCCTGGAAGAGTCACAAAGGTGCATGTGGCAGGCCCGCAGTCAAACCGATCACCTTGTTGGAGCCCAGCACTGAGGCGAGCACCCGGAGTGTGGTGGAAAAAGATGGCTATGCGATACTCGAGCATGCGAGTGGGCCTTGCATCGTTGTCAGTGACCCTGAGACCGGCGATCTTTTCGAGTCCATCTCTGACCAGGATGTGTACTTCGGCATACCACCTCATCTCAGAAACCGTTCCCTTACTGCGGATCCCTTCGCAGGTTGGCCGGTGATATGATATGAGATCGGCTTTAGGTATAGGTTGGTCGCAGGTCGGCGTGTGTTGGTGAATCTATGGAAGTGATTATACTTTAGGGAAAGCGAAGACGGCCCGCTACGAGGTATAGAGGGCCCTCTGTAACAGTGGCAAGTTACTACACCGTAAGAAAGTTTCTCCAGCGACGGCAGACGAGAAGGGGCGAAGCCACCGGCACCGCCTCCACGTCCACCTGGCTCGCGGGGAGAGAAACAGCCAACACCGCTCTCTGTCTCTCCGCGCCACCTCGCGTGCCTCGCTCTCAAGAGGACAAGACTCCAAACGAACGTATGAGCAATCCCGCTCTCGCCCCTGCGCCGAGGAGCAGCGCAAGCCCAGAGCAGAGCACAGGGGCGGGGACGGTCCACGTTGTGCTGCACAACAGGCGGCACCGGCCGGCACCGGCGGCCAACATCGGCCTCCCCCGACCGCCGGTGCGGCGGTCTCGACAGCATCTCACGCTCCTCCGAACGCACGCGCCTCGGCCCGCTCCTGCCGCGACGACTTCGACGGGCCTACTCTCGGCTCCTCTCGGCTCCTCGCGGCTCCTCGCCGGTGCTCTGCCGCGACAGACTCTGGCGGACCGGACGAGTCGCCGCTGCCCTTGACGGCGAAATCGGCGCGGAGCAGGTTGAGGCGGAGGAGCAGTGCCTAATTGACTCTTGATCAACTCTTAATCAACTGTTAATTCGCTGTTCATTAACAGGCTGGAGGCGGAGGAGCAGCGCCTTTGTGTCCCGCATGTACGCCTCTCCGGTGGCGAGCGCCTGCGGGGGAAGGGGCGAGCCGAGATCGGCCGAGATCGTGCGAGATCGGCCTCCCCGGCGGCCCGCGCCTTGACGAAGGTGGCGTTCCGCTGGTCGGCGTGCCTTGCGTGCAGCACCTGGTCCGAGGCAGTGGACGCTGCGGGAGGGAAGTGCCGGGGTGGGCGGGCTGGCGCTGGCGAGAGAGAGCCTTCGCTTGCGAGTCGATGCGCGCTGGGATGCAGCCCGACATGATCAGGGCGGCGATCTCCTACAGCCGAGATGTGCAGCCGCGAGCTGCGGCCGAGCTGCGGCCGAGAGGCGGCCTGGCAGGCCGAGGGCTGGCAAGCTCTCCTGTTAATTAACAGCCAATTGAGAGCTGATTAAGAGTTCATTCGGCTCGCCGAGGGGCTGGAGGAGGGTTCTCCTTCTCGAGGCTGTCCACCTGCGAGTGAGTACTTACTTAATTAATAATTAAGGCTGTCCACCTGCGAGTTCGGAGCCTCTGCCTCTCACCAGGCGAGCTCCCAGACCCCCTCTCACGAGGGCCGCCGCACCTCGGCCAATCTCGGGCCATCTCGGGCCATCTCGGGGCCATCTCGAGGCCATCTCGAGGCCATCTCGAGGCCATCTCGAGGCATCTCACGAGGCAGCCGCGCCTCGACGTTGAATGCGGAGGCCATGCGGCACAAGTCGACCGCCACGAACGGCGAGAAGTACTGGACGAGCGCCTTAATTAATTAGTTAATTAGCTGTTAATTAACGGCGAGAAGTACTGGACGAGCGCCTTGGAGGGATGTTAGAGCTGAATTCATTAGTTAATTAGCTGTTGATTAATCGGCGCCTTGGAGCGGAGAGCTTAATTAATTAGCTGTTAATTAGCTGTTAATCAATGAGCTCTTGCATCTGCGCCTTGGAGCGGATGTCGGCGTACAGCTGGTCGACGTGCGGGCGCAAGTGCAAGTCCAGGAGCAGGTCCGGCCTGCGGGGACGCGCCGCGGACGTGTCGCGGACGTGTCGCGGGCGCGGAGGGCGGCACGTTCGCAAGCGAAGCGTCGCGCCGCAGCGTCTCGAGTGCGGCGAGGCAGGAGGCGTAGCGAGAGGAGTGGAAGTCGTGCACGATCTCGCGCGCCTGATTTTAATTAGATGTTAATTATCTGTTAACTAACTGGAAGTCGTGCACGATCTCGCGCGCCTGATTTCAATGAGCTGTTAATTAGCTCTCAATCAGCTGTCAATTATCTGTTAATTAACTGGAAGTCGTGCGACGATCCCGCGCGCCGGTGTGTTGATCAACTGTACTACCTCCTGTGATGCAGCTGTACTACCTCCTGTGATGCAACTGTACTACCTCCTGTGATGCAGCTGTACTACCTCCTGTGATGCAGCTGTACTACCTCCTGTGATGCAGCTGTACTACCTCCTGTGGTGCAACTGTACTACCTCCTGTGGTGCAACTGTACTACCTCCTGTGATGCAACTGTACTACCTCCTGTGATGCAACTGTACTACCTCCTGTGATGCAGCTGTACTACCTCCTGTGATGCAACTGTACTACCTCCTGTGATGCAGCTGTACTACCTCCTGTGATGCAGCTGTACTACCTCCTGTGATGCAACTGTACTACCTCCTGTGGTCGGGGAAGACACGGCCCTCCGCTCGCACGCGACGGGAGGGAGGCGGAGGGAGGGAGCATCGCTCGAGATCTGTATCTCGCGGTAGATCTCGCACCTCCGGGTACAGCTCGAGCATCGAGCGGAAGGCTAATTAAGAGTTAATTAAGGTACATCTCGCACCTCCGGGTACAGCTCGAGCATCGAGCGGAAGGCGCTGTTCTTCACCACCCGCTCCGACAGCTCAGCGCGGTCGAAGGCGGCGAGCGCGCAGAGGGCGCCGTAGAGTGCGACGTCGCTCACCTACAGGAGGGCTCCAGGAGGGGCTCCAGGAAAGGGCTAGGAGAGGGCGCGCGGTAGAGTGCGACCGCCGCTCACCGAGCAAACCTCGGAGAAGGTTGTGCCCAGCTCGACCGACACCTCGACGAACTTTCGCGCGGCGGCGCGGAACTTCTTGGCCTCGAGGGCGGTGAGTGCCTACAGGAAGGTTCCAGGAAGGTTCGAGGAAGCGGCGCGGAACTTCTTGGCCTCGAGGGCGGTGAGTGCCTACAGGAAGGTTCCAGGAAGGTTCGAGGAAGCGGCGCGGAACTTCTTGGCCTCGAGGGCGGTGAGTGCGGAGGCGACGCGCAGCTGCGCCGTGAGGACCGCGTCGCTGCTGCGCGGGGCGTCGAGGGGCAGGCGGACGGAGGTTGAGGCGAGGGTAGAGGCGGCGGCGGCGGCAGGTGAGGCGAGGGGAGAGGAGGTGGCAAAGTATACG